CGGGATGGGAACGGCATGGCACGGCATGGGAACGGCATGTCATGGGCACGGCCTGGCACGGCCCGGCACGGCCTGCACGGCCCGCAGCGTGGGACGGTGGTGCGGGGACCAAGCCGAGCCGGAGCCAGCTGCTGGGGCCCGGGGGGGCTTGGCAGAGGGGAAAAGCCCGGTGCTCCGGAGGAAACTCCTCTCTTTATTATCCTGTGTGTCGTTAAAACAGCAGCAGCACCATCGGACGCGCCCGCTGGTGGGTCTGCGTTCTCGCCAGAGCCACCTTCAGCTCCTTCCGCGGGGCTGCTCCAGCGGTTCTGGTGCTGGTGGCAGCGTGAGGGGGCAGTCCTGAGGGCCAGCGCTTACTGGAGTAGAAGAAGGACTAGAGGAGAATTAAGGAAGGATATTGAGACCCACAGAGGTCTGTCAGTCTCAGGACGTACAGTTTTATGGTTTTATATGTCTGAATATGCTGCAGACAGCACTGTCTTGTCCACCCGATGCAGAGACATCCCCACAAGCTGTTGCCTCCTGGAAAACTCACAAATGGAAAAAGCCAAATATGCAAAGCAAAAGCCTCTCCTGCCTCCTAAACAAAACCCATGACTTCAGGCTGGTTGGGCATTGATAGTGCCTGGATATCTGTCTTCCAACCCTGAGATTTTATCACCCTCCAAGCCCACCACAGGCCCACTGCTCAGCCTCTGCAGTGCCAAACTGATAGGCAAATGGATTCCAGAAATGACTCCAAGGCACTGTCATCCACCATGTCAGCTCTTGCTCAACCCTTGGAAGCCCTACTGTGATTCTTCACCACAACCTGCTATAAGCATGACACCCTCTCTGTCTGAAGCTGGGGTCATTTAATGTGACAAGGACTTAATTTCAAATGCTTTGGACGTATTTGGAAGCGTGGGTAGGGAGGTTTACCTTGTGTGCAAATATTCTCTCATGAACAATTTTAACTGAACTTTGTCCTGCCTGGTAGGATGGAGTCATGTAGGGTCTGAAGAGAGTGAGAGAGAACAGGAAGGTGAGAGGGAGAAAGGAAGGAAGGAGAGGAAACCATTTCAGCTCCATTTTCAACTCCATGTTGAGGCTGGTGTTGCAAGGTAGAAAGAAGTACGAGTTATTTTTGCTATTGAGCAAGCTTTACTGACTGATAGATTGTGCCTTCCAGTCTTCCTCAGCTGGAATTGCAGGTTGACATTTAGTAATAACAAGTGGGACTACTAAGGCAATATTAATGATTGACCTGTTCCTGTGTCTACAAACGCCTGACCAAGTTTGTCTGACTTGGGGAGCTCCTGACAATAGAGCACTGCTGCTGCTGTGCTGTAGGCTGATGCAGAGCAACTCCTGCCCTGCTCTGAGTAGACATACTGCAACCTGGGTTGTGCACAGGAAAGGGACAACAGAAGGACCCACTGGTCAGTGCTTGCCAGGAGAACCATCATTCCCACCTCTTGTCTGTCTCTCCTGTTGACAGGCAAGTCCTGTATAAAAATGAACTTCTTTGGGGGTCTGTCCATGTGATGTGTCCACCATGTCCACTCCTTTTTCAGCTAAAAAATCTGAGTTATCATGAAAAAAGCCTGAATAATACTGGCAGAAACCAGGTTCCCATGTGAAATACCTTTATGACTTTGGCTCTCTGCTGTCTATTTTGTTAGTAAAGTACATTAAGAGCTCAAATTGCACGTATTTATAGGATAGACTAGAATAAAAGGTGTGCTTTTTTGACACTTTCTGCATTATTTTTGATGGCAAGGTAACATGGTGTGCTGTTTTCTAATTGAAATAGGGTCCAGAAGTAAGTGAAGGACAGTGAAGGAGGCGCTTTCTATTAGAGCTCTGTCACATTGGGTGCAGATAGCAAGAAGTATGTGTCAAGCAAGGCCACAAAAAGGGAAAAAGACAACTGCAGCAGGAGATAACTACTTTGCTTTTTGGACCAGAATAATCAGAGCAGCCTCTGAAGTCACTTACATCTGGACATCTGGTAAGAAATTTAATTTTTTCCCTCATGCTTCTCCTAAATGAATAACCTGCAAGGACTAGTCGGAGGTAGCAGGGAGCTAAGTGCTCTGTGCAACTTCATTTTTATCCTCTGTACCACATATCTCACAAACAGGGACACCACTGATTTCTGGCTTCTCACCAAGAACAAGTGGTAAGGATTAGTGTTGAAGGAGAATGGCCCTATCTGCCCAAATCAAAATGTCCTATTCCTAACTTAGGTGTAAGAACACTGTGGGAGACAGTGTTGGAAATAATGCCAAACTCATGGTAAATTATGTCCATTGCTCTCCCCATCCACAAATTACTTTATTTTATTAAAAAAGGCAGTCATGCAGGTTAATCAGTTTATCTCTGGTGAACCCATACTGATTATTCCCACTTGCCTACTTCTTCTTTATGTTCCAGAAATACCACCCAAAAGAACTTGGTTCATGCAATTTCCTGTGTTTTTTTGAATATAGGTGCAACAATTCTCCAGTTGGCAGCACTATCCATGTACTACTCTCAAAGATTGTCAAAACTGACCTTGCAGTGGCATCAACCAGCTCTCTCATCATCCTTGTCCACAGCCCCTTTGGTTTAATGGAGTTGTGTGAGTCAAGTTTTCTCCAGTAATCCCTGGTTCATCCAGTAATGGCCATCCTTCTCTGTGAATCCCAGGTGACCTTGCTGGTGAACGTAAAGAAGGCATTGAGTTACTCAGAATTTTCTGTGCCTACTCTTACAATATCATCCAGCCTATTCAGTAATTGCCATTTTTCTTCTTCAGCCTTTTACCACTAATTTAATAGTTGAAGCTTTTCTTGTTACCCTTGACATGAAAGATGAAAATCCAGCTGAGCTTTGGCTTTTCTGACATAATCCCTACATGCCTGGGCCGTGTTTCTAAATTCCTTCTTTATAGCCCATCCCTGCTTCTACCTCTTGTATCGTTTTCCTTTTCACTGGAGTTCTGCCATGATTCCCTACTCAGCCAAGCTAGTCTGCTGATATGTCTCCTTTTTTTTTCCTCAATACAGAGACGGCCTGTTCTTGCACTTGGTTGAAGCTTCAGAGACCTTGTCACTGCTGGAGACAGTGTGATCCTTGTCCTCCGAGTGCAGCCCTGTCCTGAGGAAGGCTGGTGACACCCTCACCACCTCAGGGTGCTCAGCAGAGCTCCCAAACCTGTGCCCAGCAGCAGGAGCTCATTCCTATTTGCTATGCTGGTGCACAGCCACATCTTAACTCGTACAACATCTTTGCTCAATCCCCAGTACAATGGCAGTGTCCGGTCCCAAAATCACCAGTGGTGTCCTCAGCCCACAAGCACCTGCCAGGGTGTTGCAGGCACAGCACTAATGAGACAAGCAAAAGCAGTTTTTTTCTCAAAAAAAATTTCACATATTTATCCTTTGTTCTCTGCACAAAGAAATGTGTTATATGGGAGCTAAGGAATGGAGTAAGGAGTCACAAGTTGTAAACAAGATTGGATGCCAGATGGTCCCAGAAAGCAAGTAAATAAATTCAGGTACACTGCAGCCCAGATGAAGATGAGAAGAGATGCTCAGTGCTGGAAGTAAGTTATTTAGGTACAGCACACAAGAGGCTTTGTAAAGTCTTCTTTGCAGAGATGCCATGCAAGGGCCATATGTAATTATTACATGTCACAACATATCCTTGTTCATATTCCCAGAAAGCAGTGATGCACATGGACAGTGGCTTCCTGGTCTGCCTTTGTCTCTCCTTCCCTTTTCCTTCTTTCTGTAAGACAAAAAAAAAAAAAAGTTGGATGACTTATCTGTGCCTCTCTTGCATATTTTGTCATTTTAGTTCTATTTCTGATGTTTGGAAGACTTGTTTTTTGTGGTAAATGCAATTTCTCTTTGGTACAGTTCCACATGGGATTTGATGCAGACTCTTGTTTTATACTCTCAGCTGGACATTTACCTGGAATGGAATTGCCTTCTTAAACTTTATTTAGAAGAGCAAAGAGAGTGTCACCACTTATGATTGCCAATAACTGCATTTGTTCGCAATTTTTTTCTTGTTTTGGGGTTTGTTTTTTGCCTTTCAGTATTCAGATTCATTAATTTATTCCTTCTGCATTATACTGTTTCACAGATAAAGAGAGCAGCTGCAATATACAGGCTGGGTGAGGAGTATATAGACTCTCAGAAGACTTTAGACAAGTCTGTATAAAGGAGTATAAGCACATTTCCCTCTTTCTATTGCCTCTTATCTTTGCATGCCAGAAATTCCCAGCTTAGGACTTCTCAGTCCGTCTGCAGGAGAACGCAGAAGACACACAGTATGTTCACACACCTAACACCTTGCAACACATGGAGGCATGCATGTTTACTTTACTCCTGGCCTTCTGATGTCAGTCTGTTTAATTGCAAAAGAGCAGTTCTGTATTTTTATTACTTTGTGGATGCAGGAGGTGGCATGTGAAAACTTAATAGAAGTCCAGAACTACCCTGCTTAAGAGTAGTCTCAGTCCTCTTTTTTTTTTTTTTTTTTTTTTTTTTTTTTCTCTGAAATACTTGTTGATCAGAAATGATTAGGAAACATACAAGGAACCAGCTGGGCCCTAAACCAGCCCAGAAAGATGAGAAGTGGTGCAGTGACTAAATTTGTCATGAATATATTCAATGCTACAGAAAAAGAGCTTTCCCAAGTATTTGGGGAAGAAGCACAGTTTTTCTAGTGCCATGCTAAAAGACCCTGCTCTTTGCCAAGGGAAAAATCTGTGATCTGTATGTGTAACTCAAGTGGCCATAAACTGATACTCTACCAGAGCACATCACTGGGACCCGTGTTGTGAAGAGAGGAGACCAAACAGGGCACATGGGGCACTACCCTACTACTTACTAAGTGAATGTTTGGGTCAGGCAAGTGTAGGGCTGACCACCAGGCCAAAAGCCTGTTCATCTGTTGCTATTCTTGCATTGTTTAAAAAAGCATTTTAGGAACCAAGTTGTTATGCCAAATGTGGTACTGTCTGAAGGTTGTTCTTTTTCCAGTTTTCTCAGGACAGAGCAGATTTTCATAACAATTTTCCCACTTAACATTCTTGCTCTGTCGGCTGTCAGGCCTGTAACATTCACTCATTTACTTAGAAAAGCTAATCACTACTCTGCCCTGTTTTTTTACCAGTGCTACCCAGGTGGTAAGTCACTAATTTAAGAGAAATAAAAGGTGAACTTTGTCATTGCCTCCTAGTCTCCAAGCTTTTAGAGTTCTCTCATTTGATTTCCACATTCTTTCCAGAAGACTGGAATTTTACTTCTCCATTTTTGAGAGGTTTTTAAGTGAAAATTTGGTATTCACCTACAGTCATTCAGTACCATAAGAACTAGATCTGATTGCAGAGAAGCGGACTGCAACAGGGTATGGAAGCCCTAATCCCTCTTCAAAGCAGTCCCGGAATTTACCAGCATGTTTTCCCTTGTGGGTTTTTTTAATCCAGACTCATGCTTAGCATAAAATTAACAAAGCATTGTTGCCCTACGCACATCTCTAAATCACTCTGTGTTCAGGAATTCCATCTCTTGCTTCTATGTAATCTGAGTCAGCATCTGAATTGTGTTTGTTCAATTTATGTCCAGCAAGAATGACTTGCTGGACTAATGTTTTTTTTTAAGCATCCTTTTGAACAGGGCTTGCATAGAGGGCAGAATGACAGCAAGTTCTTTTTGTTGCAAGAACATTAAAGAACATAATCAATTACATCAGCCATGTTCAGGTCATTTCTGCATATAATCTGTAAAATTGCCCTTTAAAATAACTTCAGAGCAGGAATGTATTTGTTTGTACTAACAGTGTACTAAAGGGTGTGGAAAATTAACTGCGACTTCTGTCAGCTCCTTCTATGGCCAAGTGAATGTTCTGCCTCTGACGTGCAGCCTGTTTTTCCTGCTGGTAGTTTGCTGTGGATGGGTATGGGAGGATGTTTGGAGCGTGAAAATGTTATTACAAAGGCAAGTCAGGACTCC